ACCACTCAACTAATTGTCAATTTCATTGTGGGGAAACTGAGGCAGGAGGGCTAACTGCTTGCATGCTGTCACCCAGCTAGTCAGTTCCACTGAAGCCATGTGGCCTTTGATAAGCCCGGATTCTCAAAACACAGCAGGTGTGCAAAGGACAGTATTTGCTATACCTAACAAGTTCAAAGAGTTACCTAGAAACTATTGTTATGCTGTTTTCTGTTTATAAAACTCTTATTTGCAGTCTTTTTGGTGACATGAGAGTGTCAGCAGATATCTGCAAAATGTAAGTTATCTCCCAAAACCCCAAGGAAATGCTATCGAAAGATTCACATCTTCAATAGATTCTAATCTTAGAGAGGTTAATACGGAGGAAAGATTCATGGGCAGTCCACATTTTGTGCAGATGACAATGGCAGCACAAGGTCACCTGAAGTCATTCACCTTTGCAACTGTTTTTGGGTTCTATATTGTCTGCATTAGGCATGGAGACGCCCACCTGGTGCTGTGAGAGGAATGAAAAGGAGTACTGACAAACGTCATCATACAAAAAAGGTTTCAAATCATTTTTGACACCAGAATAAAAGTTAGATTCCCGTGTCTGAGATTTCGAGTTATCTTTCTAAATGGCTCTCTCTAATCGAATCAGCAAACCCTCAGGGAAGAGCCTTCACTTCCTTTCGTTGGTCTGTTAAGCCAAGCACACCAAGAGTGGTCAATAAATAATGCTACAGGAGTACTGGAGGCCAGGGAGAGGGTGTTGCATATTTTGCTTTCGCTTTTTCCTCTGGAAAAAAGATGAATTAAGTGACAGAGTGGCAAAAGGAATAGGCAACAAAGAAACATAACCGGGAACTTGAGTGTGACTCTTAATTTCACTCTTTCAAGCTTTAATGCAAATCCAATTATATATTTGCTTTCAGTTCTGAAGTTGAGAAATTCAGCGTTAGACATTACAAAGCTAATACACAGGTTTCCTAGAGATGATATTGATAATATTTCATGTTTTCCACCTGATTTAATATTCCCACAAGTGAAATACATGGCCTATTATTATTGATATTGTGCTATCCTGGTAGCAAATTTGAAATGTAAGGAAATAGGATTCTGTTCATTATTTTTTATCAGTAAAATTAATGAATCAGACAGGAAGCTGATGTAGGTCTGTTTTATCACTAAGGTGCTAGGAAGTGCAACCTTCCTTTTGTTCTTCCTTTTGTGAAGTTTGACAAATTGTATGGTGTCTATTATTATCTGTCTGTCTCCCTCTCAGGCAGGGCAGGGATTCTATCTTCTCTATTTTCATATCCTCCAAGAGCTAACACAAGCTCATAATATTCCATCAACCAATGAGCACATATTTAAGCGCCTACAGACTGCTAGGGAGTGTGCTGGGTGCTGGGGACTAAAGGAAGGAAGACCAGTGATGAAGACAGATAATTCTGGAAGGTATAATGTAAAAGGTGAGAAGAGTTGAGCTAGGGGAAGTCGGGTGGGGGTGGATCTGTCTGACTGGCTTCCTAAAGGAAGTGATGTTTAAGGGGAAACCTGACTGATGAACAGGAGTTTCCCCAAGTTCTCTTTTTCTTTGTCTTTTCAGGTTACTGGAAAAGCTGGTGAGGTTTGTGGCTGGTATCATACTGTTTAATGTGTCATCTGCTACCATGGTCAATGTGACTCTTACTAATTAGCGTTCAGATAGCACCTTGCATATTGATTGTATGCTAATGCATCTGAGCCAGTTGGCCTTGCTAAGTGACATTCTCATGCTTCTCCAAACGTGAATACTGAAGTAAACCCTGGGTGGCCCTGCTCTGTGGATCATGTATCTCCCACATCTCTACTTTCAGAATCAATTCGTGAATACAGTCTCCTCTCTCCTGCAATGCCCAGATAGAAGTTCTTAATTTAAAATATGACAACAGAAAGTTATTCTGACTCTTGCTGTGAGGTGTGATCCTCACAGTCATTTGAAATATCATCAAGCTGTGTCTCAGAGATGCTCAGGGGTGAAAGAAATATGTGTAAAACCTGCATGTATGAATGGTGTGCATCTTGTAGAGTATGCATGAGCAGAAACACCAGCCTTGTAGAGAGAGAAACACCAGCTCCCCTCTTATTCTGTTTACTGTTTTCTTTCTGTGAAATTTAAAATTGATTCCATGTGTACTATAATGCAAGCAACGGGGCAGGGCTGCTCTCTTTTCACACATTCACACACACACACACACACACGCATACACACACACACACCCCTTCAGAGCTGCCTGCTTAACTTTTCACAGCAACTTCCTCTACTCGGATGGGCTGTGGTCCCTGGGGGAAGCCTCGGCATCTCAATTTGGCAGGGAATCCCGTTCCCATGGAAGTCAGGGCTGCCTTCACACTCTTAAGGAACAGCCCGGCAAGGTTCTCACATATTTGCCTCTGGCTTCGCTACAGAATATGTACACTGAAGGTGTACAGAAGAGGGTCTCCAACACTCCCAACTCATGTTGTGGACTCACAGGCAGTTGGGAACGTCTTGCTCTGAATTTGAGGAAAATTAGATCTATGTGAGTCTTCACCAGGCCACAGCTCAATCTTCTTGCTGCTCTCCATAAATGAATGTTAGCAGCACTTTACATATCAAAACTGTCCAAGTGGGACCTGACCTTTGGGCCTTTGGATCCATGTCGAATTCATATCCATTTAGATCTGACCCCATTTCAAGTGTTCAGAAAAATGAGAAACAATTTTACAATAGCAAAATTGGGCCCTCCCACCTTCCCCCCGCAAAACTGAATGAAATACAAGGAGGAAAACAAATGGAGATATTTGTGAGAATGACTGACTTCCTTCTGCAAACAGAAATGGGCAAGTTATCAGAGTTAAAATTGCCTTATAAAGTATGTTTATACAGCACAAGAGATGATCAGAAATGCATTTTTTGGCACGAATTGTCTTTTATTTCTCCTTTGGGATCTCTCTTTCCGACTTTTTACCCCATCTTTTTTTTTTTTTTTTTTTTTAAGACAGTCCCGCTCTGTCGCCGAGGCTGGAGGGCAGTGGCGTGATCTCAGCTCATTGCAACCTCTGCCTCCTCCTAGGTTCAAGCGATTTTCCTGCCCCAGCCTCCCAAGTCGCTGGAACTATAGGCACATGCCACCATGCCCAGCTAATTTTTGTATTTTTAGTAGAGCAGGGTTTCACCATGTTGGCCAGGCCATTTTTAAACTCCTGATCTCAAGTGGTTCACCCATCTTGGCCTCCCAAAGTGCTGGGATTACAGGCATGAGCCACCACGCCCAGCCTACTCCATCTTTTTGACTCTCTGGCTTTGACAATGTAGGCAGTTTCAATTTCATCATATATGTGGGTTGAAACTTTATTTTAGGAATAATCTGGGATGTAAGAATACCACTGCTTCTTCAAAAGCAGATCATTTTGTGGACTGTACTCAGATATGCAAAACATAGCCTCATCCACTGAGTCCTGCCTCCCAGGGCTGGCGTGGAGTCCACAGTACAGCCTGGTGAGGATTCTGGGTGCGGCTGCAGCGGTAGTGGGCCCTGTCTTGACTGGTGCTCTTTTTATAGCCTACAGAAATGCAACTGATGACTCAACTATTACACCTTGATAAATGAAATAAACAAAATTCAGTCCCCAACACTGGTGAAGATGGGCATTCAGGCAGTATCTACGCTGCAAATGTCCATGCTATAAAGAATCACTGGAAATGAAGAGCTCTGTGCTCCTTCTGTGGTGTTGTTCTGGCAAATCTCCTTTTCCTTCTTCCCCTGGTCTGAAGGATTATTCCTCTTTTCTATGAGAGTGCAGCTGAAGATGCTCATAGTTTCCTCATTTCAAACCTGGAGGCAGGCTGAGGTGGATGCCCCTTCCCTGTGGTTTCCATAGCAAAGTGCTCTGTGCACATCTGGGACTCACATTTCTCTCATTCTGCAATTCTCCATTTCACTAAATAGATTGTATTTCTGATTCCACCACCGTGCCTGGCTCAATCAGTGTACACTGAACAAATCTCTTTTTAAAAGAATGTCATATTCTAGAAATCATGGATAGTATGCTGTATTATCATGGATAGTTCAATCATAGATAGTTCATATGCTGTGTTATTATGGATAGTTCAATCATAGTTCAATGTCAGGTAAGTCAAACAGACTTTGTATAGCAGAGCAGGAGGACTTAATGTACTTTCTTTACGTTGTTTCCACAGGGGAAAACTGTACTGAAAATGCCAAACAACTGAATTAAAAATGAATTTCTGGAACTCAACACTCAAAATCAGAGGCTGTTCAGAGAGCACGTATCTACTGCTAATTTCTAACTAAATGATAGGGCTTCTGCGTCTGAGAACGATGATACTGGAACAGAAATGAAACGTTGCTAGAGGACAGTGCTAGAAGTGTGTGGACAAAACTGTCTTCTTGTTCTAGTCCATGCAACTTCCCTTGATTAATGAGAGCCATGTCTAGGTGAGAAAAGCAATCAGAGGGCTTCAGCTGTGCCAGCATAAATGGAATGCATCAATAGTATTGTTGCTTGCACATGAGACCTATCAGTAAATTATCCACTAAAAAGCAATGATTCTACCTTTTTCATTCATTTTAAATCCTTACCTATGTTTTCACTCCTGGTGCTGACTATTCTCCTTTTTTTCCAACAAGGATATCAATTCACAGTCAAGATGTGGAGCTCTGAGCAGTCTGCTGGTACAATATATACCCAGAAGTGTATATCATTCCTTCTACGTAGGGACTTTTCCACCTGTAATTCTGAATATCGTTTAGGCAGGAGCTAAATGTGATATATGTCAGCTAATGAACTGACTGGCATAGAAACCAAAATCCACCAGGGAGAAAGGCAAAACTACTGACATATTTTCAGCTGTAACCAGCTCAGACTGTAATTGCCTAATGCCTAATAAACTGGGGGGATAAAGAACTGAAATCTCCTTTAGAAATAACTACTTTAGAATTTCATGGGAAAATCTAATAGTAAACCTTGATGTGCTTGGGACTGTGAAAATAATTTAAGTCTTTAACCAGACTTAAATTATATACATAGACATGTATATTATACACACATGTGAAAAGGGAAAAATTGGGCCAGAAAAATAACAGTTATCCAACATTGGATTAAACATATGCTTGAGCAAATTTCCTGAGGGCAAGGATTGTATATTTAAGCTTTCTGGCTGAGAGATGCAGTGTGTGGAAAGTGGCTAGAATCAGATAAACAAGGATCTGAATTCCAGTTCTGCCACCTGCTAGCTGTTGGACCTTAAGCAAATTACTAAACCATTCTACTCTCGACCTCTTCATCTGTAAAGAGGAGAAAATTCTTCCTATTTCCTAGAAATGTCATGGAGAGAGCACTTCGCATATAGTAGGTGCTCAATAAATGAGGCTTACTTCCTCATCCCTTCTTTGCATACTCTGTGGCACAGAAGACACCACTAGGAAGCTTCTAACACTTTCCCCTTCACATACCCTTGGTCAGGAAGCTACCAGCAGATGAAGTGCAATAAAATGAGAGAGTAAACAAACAGAGAGACAAAACGGATCCAGAAACAGGGAACCTGATAAAGGAAAGGAGTGAAGGGATTCTACGTATGGTAGCAGGAGTCGTAGGAGGACAGCTGTATCAGCAGGCCCAGAGAACACCCATTCAGGCTGTGGCTGGGGATGGAGGGCTCCTATGGAGACAGGTTTGTATCAATGTGGAAAATGTATTGAGAAATGTTTCATGAAGCTGTTAGATGGTATGACAAGACAGCCGGAGATTTAGGGAAACTTCACAAACTAAAGAAAAGTTAGGTACATAACCCCTGGATAAGAATTAAACTACAGTATACTGCTTTTCCTGGCAGTAAATACTATTTATCACTTCATAAATTCTGGAAGCACTGATATGAACTTAACTAAATTTTTTATCTGGCTACATCACGGCAAAAGGGAAGAGAAAGAAAGGGTTGAAAATAGAATTAAATCTTCATCTACTATAATAAGATGTAATGGATACTGCCTAAAATGAATTAATCAAGAGGTACCAGGTACAGATGCATTTAGGTACATAATGATCAGTACCAGAAGAAGCAACTAAAAACGATGAAAGCGGTTTCCTCTTGAGACTAAAAAGAGCGAGGGAAAAGGGGCCAGGAAACAGCTTTTGCATTTTAACATTATTTGTCTTTTTAAACTATGTTCACAGGTTACTTTGATAAAGGTAAGACTCAAATTTAAAAATGAAGCTCGTAATTGCATTTTGGAATCATAAAATTCAAAATAATAGAATAAAACTGTAACTAAGGCAGTGAGCAAGATGTGATCACTCAAGGTAAAATCCTTAGCCACAAGTTTGGGTCCAGACTTGCTGTATTACGTCTCCTGTTCCCATGCCCTTCCTACCACACACATACCCCACTTATTACATTTCTCATAGCAGTGAGCATGGTTTGCCACATATATGTGATTAAGTATTTGCTGAATGATAAATAGCTATACCAATTGCTAAATTATTTTTCCATGGTGATTTTGAACGAGTTTAGTCTGGGAAGCTCAGGTGTCATACCTGGAGTTCCTAGTTTTCTTCTGTCTGCAGGAGTAAGATTATCACATATTAAAAGGTTTCAGAAAGCTCTGCCTGTAACCTGATTCTGAGGTAGACACTCCTCAGGTCTAATCCATTTTATACAATGCATGGGTGTGCCAGAGACTCATTTGAAACAACTGATATTTGAGTGAGGCAATGTAATGGGCATTTTAATTATGCATTCCTGTAAGGTTTGTATCTCCTATTCATGGGTTAAGCTAGAACACTGGTTTGCAAACTGACCTGAAGGAACTTACAGTTCTGGGAGGTGCCTTAGGAAAATCCTGAAAAGGCAGCAGGTGATGGAGTGGGGAGGAGAATAAGGGATGAAAGAAGTGTTCTTGCTAAAAGAAAGTGTGAAAATCATTGACATACATCTTCAGAAAACATTATACCTGTAACCACATTATCTCAGCTTCCTAGAGGACAGTCTTTACTGAATTAAAGTTTAATATTCATATATTATGAATATAAATATTCATAAAATTCATATAAGATTTTATAATGCAGCCTAAAAAGATCAACATCAAATAATATTCAGATAAGATTTTACAATGCAGCTTAAAAACAGAAATATCAAAGTCAACAGTGTCATGGTGTCTTTCCAAAATTTCCAGTAGAAGATTCCATCATGTTACCTAACTCCCCCAATGATAAATGTACCTTTGAATTTATTTCCGGGAAAAAATTTGCCTCCATTTAATGAATGTGTATGGCTTTCATATATTTTTTAAAACAAAACAAAACTGTATTCCCACATCACTCCTTTTGACTTTAGCTGCTTGGAAACTCAGATTTAAATGAGGACTCACTTTTGGAAATCACACATTGCAAGTATCTGCTAACATTTAATTTGTATTATTTTATTGGAGGGTGCTTATTTGCCACAAGAGGCAAGTTAATGTTTGTCAGTTCCCTGCAAGACGCAGGCCCTGTGTTTGTTGTATACTTCATGGGTTATTTCATGCACCACGGAAAATTTGCAACGATCCTGCAAAATAGGTATTGCCATTCTAATTTTACAGATGACACAGCTTAGTTTCAGGGAATTGAAATAACTTGGCCAGAGTCACATAGACTTGAAGATACTGACAACATTTTTGGAGTAATATATAATTTCTCAGTAATGTATATTTTAGATTTAAATTAATATAAAAATTATTCAAACCCATTTCATTTCCTTTGATTTTAAGATTATAAAATCAATAGACAGGCTACAGTCTATAACATATACACACACTCCCACTGCAAAACTTCTTTCCCTTCTTTCCTTTGCCCTGCCTTTTTTCCCTTTTTTCTTTGCCTGTATATTGACAGTTTCTCTCAGGTACTGTGTTTGCCCTTGGTGATACAAAGATCAATTACATATAGACATGGTTTCAAGGAGCTTGAAGTCTAGTGGAGGAGTTATAGTATGGACTTAACTACAACTCAAGGTAGAAAGCAATGAAAGTAATGACAGATGCCAAATGCTTTGTGAGTTCAGAGAGGGGAAAAAGAAATTTCATGGTCCCAACCCTCCAGGAGGTCATAGTTCAGTGGACCACAGACCTAAACAAAATTATAATACAGCATGATCAGAACTATACTGAAAGGTTTGCACTGTGCTGTGGGTACTAGAGGGAGAAGAAACTAACTTTGTTTCATGAAAAGGGGTAATTACAGCAACATGGACACTCAGGGAAGGGGATGGAGGGGGTGAAGGGCTGGGGTTCCAAGATACCAGCAGAAGTGCCCAAGGAGGTGGGCGGGATGTCATAGCCAGTAGGGATCAGGCAGTGGAAGGACAAAAGGCATTCATAGTGAGGAGAGCTGATGCTGTGAAGTCAAGCCCCACGAAATGATTGGATCTGCAGTAAAGCTGCAATTCCAGGAAGAAGGCCTGGCAAAAGCAACAGAGACAACTGGAACCCCAGTTACTGGCCTCATCCCTAAGGAGTATGGAAAAGGCAGAATTGCTTACACACACTGTCCAATTACCATCTGGAGGGACAAGGTAGCTGGAAAGGAGGAGGTAAAAAGGAGAATTACAGTGTCAAAGCACAAAGGTAGCGGCAATGGAGGCAGAGATGTGGATGGTCATGCCGTGGCGTCAGCAGTAGCACCTGGGAAGGGAGATAGAAAGTGTGCTGACTGCAAAGGTTCTGAGCCTGGTTCATAGTGGGGCTCAAAGGGGTACAAGAGTTAATGGAAAGTCATTTTTGAAGAATGCTGGGTTTTGAGCATGTTTGAAGATAGAAAGGAGAGAGTAAAGATGTAAAACGCAATGACTGATGGAATACATCTTCTGGGGCAAGAGCTGAAGTTCAATGTTGGCCTCTGAGAAGTGGCACTCGGGGCCCAAGGGAGAGAATGGGACAGAGAACGGGTAAATTCTTGACATTCTGAGGTCAGCAGGAGCTGCTCCCTCCAGTGTGTTCTCTATCCTGCTACTCGAGTGCCTTTTATAAAGGGCACTTTGATTCACTGACATTCAACACATTGGAATTAATCAATTATCTTTTGCCAGGCACAAGTTATATTTCTGCTTAAAAACAATCTATGCAGTTTTTTTCATGACTTTCCATTGCCTTCAGGATGAGAGAAAAAAAGTCACTCGGAGTATCTCAATGAAACTCTCTTACTTTACTTTCACCCATATGATTCTTCAGAATATAGGCCACTCCAACCCCCATCAATAGCGCCTCTTCAGAATTCCATCCCATAGATTTGACCCATGGGTTAGCTGAGAGGGAATTCCCTGCTTTCCAGCTCTGACAGTTAGACCTGGAAGGACTAGGACTCAAACTAAGACTAGGTCCATGGGCAAATGGTGTTTAGAGGGCAGACTTGGTATACAGGAAGGTGGAAGTGCTAGCTCCTGTTCCCAACTCCTGTGGGGAGAGGGGCTCTTAAATCCCCAGAACAGAAGAAAGGATCATAAGGCAATGGTATAATTTATTTGTCCACTTGTTCAACAACTATGTTTTGGCTTCCTGCAACATAGTAGGTGTGTTACAGGTTGGAATACAGGGTGAATAAGACAGATGCAACCCCTATATTCAACGAGCTTACAGTCTAGTTGGGGAAGATTCACGAGAACAAAGATATATGAGGGGTAATACATGCTCAAAGAGAGGAAGCAGAGGGATCTACCAGAGCAAATAAGATGGGGGCTAATCCAGACTGGGAGGCCAGGGAATGTTTCTGGGGAAAATGATGTCTTAGCTGAGACTGAAGAAAGTTTAGGATTAGGTTAGCCAAGCCTAGTAGAGCAGAAGAGTGTTCCAGTCAGAAGAAACAGCATATTTGAAGACCTGGGGGTGAGAGAAAGCATGACACTTCTCAGGAACTGAAGGACATTTATTATGAAGGTTGCCAAGTGCAGAGTATATATGAGTTTGGAGAAAGGATGGGTAGGAGTCAAGGGAAGAGAAAGGCTGGGAATGAAAACCAGTGACTTTGGAGAGCTTGGCAGAATTCAGATAATACAGGGCTTTATAAGCTCCATACGGAGCTGGACTTTCTCCTGAGAAAATGAAGTCTATTTAAAAGTTTTATGCAGGTGATGACATGATCAAATTCCTATTTTAGAATCCTCACTCTGGTTCCACATTGGCAAGACTGGGAGGAGGCAGGCCAGGTAGCAAGCATGAGAAGCAAGTTAGGACAATGGTCAGAAGCTGTTCTGGATATGTTTTGCTCAAGGGCATGTCCATTTAGGACTCATTCATCTATGCCACAGACTGAGGGATGTGGAGATGGGCTGGCCAGCTTATTAGTTCTCATGCCCCTTCCCAGCATGGATCCTCTCCCAGGAAATGTCCCTTCATCACTGCTGCCAATAATAACTCCAATGGTTACGTGTACTCACTCCTGCCCTTTCAAGGACTGCCATGAAACAGTCTCAAGAAGGTCAGGGAAAACAGGCTAGTTCAAAATTGGTCTATAGGGAAAGGGACAAAGAAGAGAGAGTACAAGCTAAGGTGAGAAAGAACTGCGCAAAGACTCAGAGACACAGTAGAAATGTGAGCCAAAGACCAAAGACCACACTCCTGTGCTCACCCACACAGACCTGTGGACTACCAAGTAGGACCCGATAAGCTCCCTGTTTATGAAATTCATGTTTCATAAAGGCAGAGCTGAACTTAAGACCCTGTGGAAAGGAAACAGTGGAAAATGCTAGTGGTTAAGGGTGGAGGGAACTCACGGTAGAATGAAGGGGAAACAGATCAACCATCCCCATTCTTTCAACCTCGGGGACTTTGAAAACTTGATTTTGCAGGATGCACAGGGAAGTAGTCATTGGCTTCCCTCTATTATGTTTGACTTAATTTACTGCTTGGAGAATTAGGCACCACTTTATTGTTCACATTCATTGCATCAAATGCAAACATTGAGCTAGAGTTCTCTAATTAGTATCCAGAGAGCTGCCTAGTCTGTGCGTATGTGTGTATGTGTTTAAGTTTGGTTTCTTCTGCTGGAAACACAATGTAAAAGAGTTAAGATGATTCACTGACATTACATCTCTCTGATCCCAGTAGTCTAAACATTTGTACAGTCTTCTGTTTGAAACCCAGAACTCCTTATAGTAAACACCTTCTGAATCTCAAGTCTTTGTGCCTGACTTTAATTAACCATTAATGTGCAAATTTACTGATGAGTGCACTGGCTAAATGGGTTTTTGCCTCGTTTGGATTTCACAAAAAGAACCGCCACCCCCTTCTACCAAACTGATAACAACTGACATCTGATTAGAAAAGGCAAAACTAATTAGAATGAGTGCAAAGGGGATTGTTTGAGTCACCTACATTAATGCACATTACAGTTAAATATCTGTCAGATTTTCCATTAACCCTCTTGCATTTCCATCTCCAGGTTCAAATCTATTTCTTAACCCTACACCCTTTCTTTCTCTAGCTGGAAACTTGGTATTCAACAGGCTAACTTACCGACTAATGCTTTAAATGCACAGCTCTTATTGATGGATGTGACACACAGACAAAGACCTTGGAATGAGAATAACAGAAGCCATTCCCCTAACTGTGGAGTTGAACTGTACGTATTATGATCCCAAGTCTAACATGTTCTTCTTGCTATTGTGTTTATTTCTTTATTGAGGGATATGAGTTAATTGTTGCTTTACACAAATTCACACCATTGTGCTCTGCGCTATTACATACTAGGATAACAAAATAAAACAAAAGAAAGTAGAATATCCAGCAAATAGAGTTCTATTCTGTGAAAGCTTAAAATAACATGTTTAAAATGAAAACTTGTTGACTTAGGGGAAACGTCCACATGATTTTTGCTCACTTCTTATATAGAATGGACTGTTAAGGATTGAGAAAATGTAATGTAATCACCCAATGGGAATTCATGAAGTAATAGGGACAGACACCTCCTTCAGATCAAAAGCTCAGCCAGGGAAGGAACCATGTTTTCCTGATCTTTTAGATTATATGGGTATGAAAGGGGTCATTTAATCTTTTTATCTCCAGTTCCTGGCACATTGTAGGTGCTCAATACATTTTCATCATATGAATGAATGAAGCAAGAATTATGGTTTCATCCCATTGTGAAACTCTAACAGTGATCCTAAAAAGGTTCTTAAATTCAAATGGATGATGTTAAAGAGAAAGAGAATGAAAAAAAATTTCTTTATTATGTAAAATACCTAACAAAACTCCAGAAATGTTTGCTTTAAAAATTAAACTGCATTCTCACTTCTTTGTTTTTTGTTTTTTTTTTTTTCCTATTTTAATCTGGGAACAGAGGTACCAAGAATCCCAGCAGCAAATCAGCCTAGCAACAGAAAGAAAAATAAGCCTGCAATATGATGAAAATAGCTCAAATTGAAAACAATCTGATTATTTAATTTTTTAAAAACTGAAAATTGTATGCTTCCATTACTGCACCATAATTTCTTCTTTGTTCTCAGGTGTAGCATCAGTGTTAAGAACTGTGCCTGGCAAATAGCAGGCAGGCAATAAATATGATTTTAAACAAGTGAATAGAAGCTCAGCCAGAGCTAAGAACAGAGCGATATTCACTAAGTTCATGACTCCTGGTAGGCAGATCAGGAAACAGAGATGTGTGGATTCAGATAAGGCAAAGTCAGTGTGAATTTGGCCAACATGTATCATAAAGAAGGCCCTGATATCACAACCCAAACCATCTCTACCTATTTCCTTAATTTAGGCAGCATAGTAATTATCAGTCCTGGATGTAAAATTAGGGTAATTACTAACTGTAACCCTGAGCAAGTGATTTGATCTTTCTGAGCATCAGTGTCACCACTTGTGAAAAACAGTTGATCATATCTACCATTTGAGTATTCGTATAAGGCACAGAGTTAGTGCTAATGTTAAGCCAATCAACAGAATAACAACAAAAAAACAAAAAAGATACCAAGTTCCTCCTGCTGATTTTCCAGTCATGATTCTTCAATACTAATTACATCGACATATGTATCTGGAAATTCACTTTGCATCCTGGTCAAGAACTGGTTCTATGGAATATTAAAGACAAATTTTTCTTTCCTTTGCAAACTTAAAAGATAAATCGTGAAATGTTAAAGATAAAATGAAAATGTAAACATAATGCTCCTGGCCTCCCACTGACAACACACAATATGTCTGTATCAACCTTGTTCCTTCTTGCCAAAACTCAGCCAAGGTGAGTTATAAAGATATCATCTAATGGTCAAGAGTCATTTGCAGTGATCACCTAGCATCTCTTGAGTCTCTATTCCATCTTCACTACAGATTTCATGCCATTATATTTACCCTTGACCGCAGGTATGTCACCATTTTTTTTTTGGCCTCCTTGAACAAGTTCACAATATACTGACTAATTTTGTTTCTCAGCTTCTGTAGGACTTTGGCTTGGTTTTGTCTTTGGCCCTCTATGCTCCTGACTTCCTGTACCCTATTCTAGCCTATAAACCCAAACTCTGGCACCAGCCTAATTTGGTGACCCTTCAGCCAACCTCTAGGATCCAGTGAAGGAGTGGCTTGGATGTTATATTACTATAAAACACTAAATTCATGATTATTTTCTCATTGGAAAAGGCATTTCCAGCTGATACAAGATTTCTATTTCTTCTCTGGCAATTTCATTGGACAATTATAAGGACTCAGAGGTACTGTCAGCATAAGAGAGTTACATTGATTTCTCTACTGCCTCCCAGGCCAATTTGGAAACAATTTTCTGGGTGTTCATTCTTAAGATCGGATATATACAATACTACCTTAAAGAAGTGGGGCAGAGAACACTAGGAGATGTGCCTGATTTACACCGAGGGTATAATATGGTGTAGTGAAGGATATGATGTAGTGAAGGAAAAGCTTGGCTAGGAAGAGAGAGCAGGGTGAGGTTATTAATATATGATTGAGTAGCTTGGCTTTAAACTAAGGAGGCAATGTACGAATTTATGTTTCAGTCATAACAAACCATCCATTCACTGGCTGCCTTCCCTCCAAGAAGTTTTAGAGATGGGAGAATTCTAAACCAAATATAGAATCCACTTGAGTTGCATGGATCCAATGTTAGAAAATAATTCACACTTTTAAGTGACTGATTATATAGCTCTGAAAAAGATCACTTTTTGGTTAAAGAGGTAAGCACTTTTGGCTTAAACCTCACGAGCCCTGATCAACGAGTAACTCTTTCACAACTTAAAGAAGTGTTCAGTGACTTGAAGATAAATCAGAAACATATGCGTTGCCTCCCTGTCTTGCCCTCTCCCTTAATCCTCAAATCAGGAAGGGAAGAAAATTATAGCAAGAGGTATCTCCATTTGCCAAGCTACAAATATTAGCAAGACAAGAGTCTGTTGAAGACATTTTGTAAAATACCAAACAGTATTTGTTCTCCCAGTTTCTAGGGAAGAGATTACTTAAAACCACCCCAAGCATGGAACAATAGGATTTATCAAACAATTTTATTATGCTGCATCCATCTCTCAGACATCATTTACCTCTAGGAAAACAGAGGTAGGTACACAGTAAAGGCGAAGGGGCATAGGAATGTCCCTCATTCAGTCTCTAGCTGAAAATGTGGATCTGTCTGGGTTCAGAGTTCTGACGGGTAAAGAGAAAGTCACCTTTGCACATCTATGGGGTAAACTGCAAGCAACTGATCAACAAATTCAATCTATTAATTTGTAGCAGAGAACCAAGATTTCCATCAATCACAAGGCTAAAGAGCTCCAAGTAACAAATCCCATAGTAAACAGTCCTATGTTTGACACAAAGTGAGTATGACAAGCAGAAACACAAAAATACATGACTAGCATTTTCCTTTAGGATGTTTTAGTTGACAAATTTAAGAGTTGCTTAATTCCAAATCCCCCACCCTACCCATGATTTTGGTCATGAGTAATGGAGATTTAGCTGTTCTGGCATGAGAATAGACATTTGTACTGTCTTTATAGATGGTAGAGTTAAACACTCTCTCTGAGTTGAGAATACATGCCAACACACTAGATGAGACAGTAAGAATCAGAAACTTAAAAGTATGTATATCAAATAAAAGTTGCTTCTCAAAATAAACATCTTAAGAAGGAGCTCACTTTCTTTAAGTGCCTTCAGAGAAAGCTCACACACCGCACTTGCAATGCAGTCTTGCCACATCATAGTTATCCCTTGGTTTTGACCTAAAGCAGCATGACCTGGCTTGACTGTTTGCAAAAATTGCCTTGATAGGATGAATGTTATAGTGTTGGTAATAATCTACCAAATGCGCTTTAAGCCCTGGAGACAATCCCCAGAGAAAACTCTATAGCTGTATTGAACAATAGCATCATTATTAGGATGTGTACCCTTCCCTCCTAAATGTGAATGCTTTTCAAAGGTAATACTTACTTGACTACACAGCTGTAGTATACTTGCTGAAAACTCAGACACATGACTTTGGAATCATATGTTATGGGATTATTGAGTTGGAAGAGACAATGTGGTTCAGTCTATAAAGCTGGGACAAAACTTTAAATGGGTGGCTACTCTCTGCACAGAAGAGAGGTCCTTAACTTGAAATGCTGCCACATTTCCATTACTTTTTAAGGGCCTTTTGGAAGAGATGAAAATTACCTCCTTATCATATGTGTCATATGCCCTAGGAGAATGTAAAACATTATCTAAGGCATTGGAAGATGTTTGCTGATTTGGCCATCAGCACCCATTGGTGTGCTTGGGTCCTAGAAACTTGGGTGGGGACTAAGAGGTCAGAAATATGGTTTACAGTTGCTGATATCAGCAGTGTCTCTGGAAACAGGACAGAGGATGTTGGAGGTGGCAGGGAGGCTCCCAGAAAATGACTGATGGGGCACTGAAGATCTATATTTCCTATTGTAAGTTGTTTATTTTGGTTAACTCCATAATGTTTACCCTCAGGAAGGCTAACAATTACACAGGTGTGTGTGTGTGTGTGTGTGTGTGTGTGTGTGTTTGTGTTTAAAATTCTTTAGCATCTCTAAAGAATAGAGATTTAGGATATGTTTTTATCCCAAAGGACTTAATCTGCTATGTAGATTATGTAAGTAGGAGTCAACATTAGCAGAATATTCTTTTTAAGAATTCCACAATGATCTATAAAGACCCCAGCATATCCTACCTGTGACCTGTAGATCCTAGTGGCTAAAAGTATAGGCTTAGAAGTAGATTATCAGAACCCTGTAGCTGCTACTTATTATCTGTGTGACCTTGGAAAAGCTATTGAGCCTCCCTGTGCCTCAATTCTGTTCCTGTAACATGGAAATAATGGCATTTCCCTCAAACAGATGAAACGAGATGCCATAAGTAAGGGAGGCTGGTTATAAATGCTAACTTATTGCTATCTCATTATTTATAATTTTCATTTTTATAGTCAGAAGTCTGGGCCTAGAAAGGGTAAACCGCAACACACTCAGGCTGCTGGATCATGGAAGAATGAAGGATAATTCTCTTTTATTTCCCCAATACTCTTTATGTTAGGATTTGGGATTTACTCCAATGCCTCTCCTATACCATAGCAGTGCTTGTTTAAAAACAACATTTGGTGGTTTATGCCTCTTGCCATAATCATAATAGTAATCAACTTATTCTAGACTCTGGGCTGAGAATTACCTCATTTTATTTTCAATACACCCCTAAGATATTTTCTTTTCACCCCTATTGATAGGTGAGGAAATAAGTGTAGAGAATTTCAGTGAGTTCCTTGAGGTGACACAGCTAGGACTGTCAGAGTAAGAATCTGAACCTACATTCATCTAAATCAAAGTGCCTACATACAGCATTAGAAAATGGTACCACAACTTGCTTTTAAATGCTCCCAAAATTGCCTGGGTTAAAAGAGAAATTTTGTAAAAAAATATATGTGTGTGTTTGTGTGTGTGTGTATGACTCCAAGTCCATTCTTCATAATCCATAATTTTTTAAAAACCCACTTCTTAAGTGGAAAAGAGCTGAAAGCGGTCCTTAGTGCCTAATTTTTGAATCCTCGTTGAGTCTGGTGTTCTGGCCAACATCTAGGGCAAAGGTTAGCCTGGACAGAGTTTGTGGTGTTTGTGGCATTCTTTTCTGGGCAGTAGCCATGAAAACTACTCTAGGAATGTTGTTGGAATTAGGCTCTGTACCATCCCACTGTCCTGAGATATTATTCTGACATATTATGTGCTATCTTTGGGCTTAGGCAGATAACGTAGACCTGTCAAATTACACACACAAAGCAATATTCAAAGTTCCTTCCTTCCTTCCTTCCAGGAAGAGTCTTTTCTTTCAAGTTCCCTGGGGATCAGGGCTTACTCATCAGTATGTGCTCTGGAGGCACAGAGCTATGTCTTCATACTGCTCATATCTGGGGTGGAATAAACCTCTGTTTTATGTTAACCAAAGGACATAAGGTAACCAGAGATTTTTTTTCTCTGTTTATTCGTGATGATTTCATCCTTTATCACTTAACTCAGGCATTACTTTTCCAGAAGCCTTCCCTGATTTCCCTGTGCTGGGTCAGATACCCAAACTCTGTGCTCTCATATCGTTATTCTTTCTACCTCGTATTAAAATGGTAGTTTAAAATCCTGTCTCTCTTTCCTTACTGTTCTTGCAGACAGGGATCATGTTTTATTTAGGGCTGATACTCGGTCCACATGCATCACAGGGAGTCATCGCAGGACTATTATGATGGATTGGGCATTTAGATATTCTAGTTGGTTGGTGCAGGTATAGATCAGTCATGTAATACTCAATCCCACCTCTGGCTTTATTCCAATAA